ACCCCCTAAACTCAAAAACCACCCTTCACAACGACGCGTATACATCCTCCCGTTTTAAATTTTATTTCTCTGCGTTCTTCCTCGTCCTTCTTCGCTCCTGCTCGTCCTCTGGAGAGTTCAAACTCCTTCGACGCGACGTATAGCAGCGAAATGTCAAACTGTGGGGCGCTAGAAACTCGCACTTGACGCTCTGTGTGTCTATGTGTGCGATGCGTGTTATCAGGTTGGTAAGCCTGAAGTTGCTCGGCTTTCGCGACGAATACGACGCTGGTGGAATCTTTATATTACATGGAACAGAGCTGGACTTTGTAATTTTGTAATAAAAATATAATTTTTCTACGATCGTGCAAAAAGTAGCTATTTTTTACACTATATACTGCTTTAAAAGTCAAATTTTATATACTAGTGCAAAAAGTAACTTATTTTTAACAACGCCTTGACATTATTAATTGTGACTTTAACTAAAGAGAAAAAATAAAATTGTAAATTCTTGTAAAAATTTGACAAATCCTAGAAGATAAATCAAGTACCAGTACTGGACACCTCGCAGCAATGTTCCAGAAAAGAGATTGAAGTGAAGAGATCTTTTTCTTCACTTCAACCCGAGACCTCCACGAGCAGAAATGAAAATAAAATTCAAGTCTACTGGAAATGAAGTTTGTCCAATAATGACCTTAAAAAAAGAAATTTAAAATTTTTCAAATTGCGACATTAAAATTAAAATGAAGTAAAAAAAATGTTATTAAAAAAATAAAAGTGTCATTGTTAGTTGTAATATTATTCTGTCAATTATTGTAAAATCTGCAATTTTTTTTTTGATTTAAGAATTAAGCTTGAAAATGTTTACTAGCAGACCTTACAGTCGAACATTGGTTGAACCTCTTTTAGTGCGAAATGTACAAGATAATAGCTTAATAGCCATAAAAAAATCATTGCAACTTTATTAGAATATTTTGAACGGGAAATATTATGTTATATATTTATAATTAATTTTTTTTGTGTCCTAAAATATTTTGGTCAAAAGAAAATATACAAATGTGGGCAACGCTGTGCCGGTCAAGCTTAATCACGTGACTAAAAGTTTATTTGGTATGAACTGTATACCGGGTGTGTCTCAAAATGACACTATGGACTTTTTTATTTTTTCACATAAACAAACAAGATTTGGTATGGCAATGTATGACATAAATTAGGATTGATTGACGTATTCAATTGTTTTCGGTCACTTCCTGTTTCACCGGAAATAACTACAACTTTTGAATTTTAAATAGCATCCTCGGTATTCTTTTACTTAATCGATAGAAAATGACACTCTGAATCGAATGACATATATGTCAACTTTTGACATATTCGCTCAAAAACAAATTGTATTTTAAATTTCAATCTAGAGTGCCACGGTTGTGTTAAAAACACTAATTTTTAGTCAAGGAGCCTTGGAAAAATAGATATGATCGAAAACGATGCTCAAATCGTATTTTTAATCATATCTCAATTTTTTTAAATAGAACAAAGGTGGCTTATTAGCATATTTGGAAAAGGCATTTTTTACGAATAATTTGATACCACACACTTGGTATTTCGAGTCAAATTGTCGTTATGAACCGCATGTGACAATCTCAAATAAACCATATGCGAAAATGTCAAAAGTTGACATATGATATGTCATTCTATTCAGAGTGTCATTTTCTATCGGATAAAGTAAAAAAATACCGAAGGCGCCATTTAAAAATCAAAAGTTGTAGTCATTTCCGGTGAAACCGGAATTGACCGATAACAATCAATCAATCCTAATTTATGTCATATACTAACATACCAAATCTCGTTGTTTTATCTGAAAAAATAAAAAAGTTATAGGGGGTGAGCCACTTTTGAGACGCACCCGGTATTATTAAACTGACATTAAGTGTCAAATTCAACGGATGTACTCATTGTTGCTCGATATACAAATTCAACTATATTTTCATGTTTTCTTTAATTTTCTCTATAACGGTATGGAAGTTTGGAAAGTATAAACGTAATTAACAATTTTAGAACAAACACAAATTTTTAAGAAGAATTAATTTTTCTCAAAATGTCAATAGTAAAAAAGTTTTTCCTCTTTTTACATACTGTATAAGATTATACGTTTTAGATTTTTCACTTCCCGGTTTTTAATTTTTAATAAACTTCCGTTGCAACACCTGAAAGATTTAATAGTCTCATTCTTACAAAATGTTTCAGAAAGTATAAAATTGATTTTTTCGAAGTTAAAAATTTATTTCTATACCATTCTATAACTTTATTCGAAATACTTTTAAATTATATATCGTTAACTCGCGACCCAAACGATTTTTTTCCTTCATTATATATGAAATATTGTGAACACGGCCATAATGATCCTTTGCGCTATTCTCATTCAACACATCTGTTATCGAATATTATCCCTATTATACCCTTGTACGAAAATGTTCGATTTCTATATATTGCGCCAAAGAAAGCTCCCGGGATGATATTATATGAAAAATATGTCTTTGGTACAAGCATTCGGTATTATTAATATCCAATATATCTTGTAAACTGTCTTTTTTTCCAATAGAATCAAGAAGAGTGATTTCTTTTGTTATTTTGCTTATGTTTGGAATTTAGGCTGTGTGTAAGATTAAACATAATGCTTTCACTTAAGGAAATTTTTAGTTACTTTTACAAGTACAGTACAGTACCTTTATAAGTTACAGTTTAGTTAGTGTTACAACACCGTTTTAACGCTCGAGTAATAATATGAAACTGTGAAGCAATATTTTTTTTATAGAAACTATCGGAAACAGGATATAGCCATCTTATCCGATAGTCAAGCAGCACTAAACGCGATCAACTCAGTAACCATCAATTCGAAGCTGGTCAAAGAATGCCTAGAGAAGCTCAACAAATTGGGCAAAGAAAATAAAGTCCCACTCTGGGTGCCACCCCACAAACGGATAGAAGGCAATGAAAAAGCAAATGATAGAAAAGAAACGAACACTCTACTAACTGGACCAGAACCTGTTTTCCAATTGGGAACCAATTTTTTTCTGTTTTCCAAACCAACTGAAAGCGGAACTGACGAATCTGGAAAACTCCATCCGTAACCTGGAATGGGTGTCCTCCAACGGTCTAAGACACTCGAAAAAGTTCCTCAGAACTTACGACCGGGAAAAATCAAAGGCTTTCCTTGATTTAAGTAAAAACAATCTTCGGATTGTCACGGGGTTTCTAACAGGACACTGTCTCCTCAACGAACACCTCAGTAGGCTGAAGCTGAAAAACAACGGCGAATGCAGATTCTGTGGGGAAAATGGGGAAACACACCTTATCACTGAGTGCACCGAGACGACGATCGTTCTTGCCATGAACCTTGGTACGTCTGATGTCGAGGATGGAGAGCTGGCCTCTGTGGAGCCGTCTCAGATATTGGCTTTTGTTAAAGCCCTGAGACCGTATGAGGAGTTATAATCCGTTATAACTGAAGAAAGGGGAACACACAATAGATCTGTAAGAGGTCGCGGTGATTAACTCCCCTTCTAAACATTCTACATTCTACAATATTATTTGTTTTTTTTTTAAATAAATCTGTGTCTGAAAACGTCTTTAGTTCTTTCCTTCCAAAAAAGGCGTTTGAAGAGGTGTCTCGAAATGAAAAACAGTTCAAATGAGAGATTCTGTATCTCCCTTTCTTCTCTCTCGTACCATAAAGTGTGGTACGACTGATATCGGAGAGCTAACCTCTGTAAAACCGTCTCATATACTGGCATGTGTCAAAGTCCTGAGACTGCATGATGAATTGTACTCAATAGATCTATAAGTTCGCGGTGATTACCCCTACCACCCTCCCATACAATCTACAATATTAAAAACTATTAAGAAACTGGAATTATCAAAACAAGAGAGAGCGCATCTACCAGATACCTTGTGAATGCAGTGATTCTTACATTGAAGAGGCAAAACGTCCCCTAGATGGTAGGTACGTAAAAAAACATATAAAGAGATGAACTAATGTTGTGAGCTATTATCAGATCATAACATAAAGTAGTCAGAAGCCCGGATTCTCCACAAGGAGAAACTCGTTGAAAAAAATCTTAAATTTAAAGAATTCGTTTTTATGTCAAATAATAATGTCTTTAGCAATCTAAGTAGGGAAATTTCTACAGTATGACAACCACGCATTTAAATTAGCAATGCTGACGTTCTCAGTGAACCTTGACAGGACACAGCTCCGTTAAGGGTGAATGCATTGCTCTAGTATAAAATTGAAGGGTCCAGGGGGAAAACATGATAAGCGCTATTTCACTGATTTTACACCAGAGCACCGTACGGCTGGTAGTTATCAGGTACTTGCCGTGCATTCTATGTTTTACTATGGAGTGTAGAGGTAAGGAGAAATATCTTCGTGCTTTAAAAAATGGCCATAAAAAAAGGAAGACTTAAGATGGCGGTGTTGTAGCAAAAATCAAGTTTTTCCTCTGGGCCCTTCAATTAATTTACACTTGAGTGATTCATCTCAGCTAAACGTCTTGTAAAATTTAAAAAATAGAGATTCCAAGACGATATTTTATTTAATTATTCATCATTGCCTACCACGTTCAAACAAATTGGAACATATTTTATGTTTCTAGAAGTTATTTAAAGAAACCTATAGTTATTTTCAACATTTTATCTAATATATTTGGCCTATCTATAAATAGCTTAAAATAGAATTTCCAGAAATGAAGAAAATATATTACTTAAACCATCCAAAAACAATAACGACCTTTATACCCACCTTCCCACGAGCATGCATGATTAATGATTCTTTTTTCCCGCATATAGAATTATATATACGGGACCGTTTTCCCGACTTTCCTTATTATTATATTTACACCAGTTCATCCCTGATGCCGGGGTGAATTTCCACTTATTGATTTTCCGTGACATCACGGCTGTTTCCCGGCAACAGCCGCGCGCAGGCTCTCTCCTCCGTGCCATCGACCACCCCTTGGCCCCGAGATTTCCCAGGCACAAGCAGAGTTTCCCTCGCAGGGTGGCAAAATTTTCATTTTCCGACATGGCCGGTCGCGTTTGTGAGCGTGTTTAGCCCAATTTTCCGTTTTTTTTCGTCTTGTTTTTGACTTGTAAGACTGTTATAATGGGTACAGTGTTAAGTTTCTCGCCGAGGGATAGGGCTAGGCCCTTGTACACGTCGGGAAGTACGGGGGATTTCGCTCTGAACAATTTTTCCTACGAGCAACTGAACAATGTCAAAAACAACCGCGAGAACACGAGCAACAAGGCTAATTTAAGCCACTCCAACACCCACACTTTAAACAACATAAACAACAATGACAACGCGAGGATCATCTCGGAAAAGAACGCACTGGAGAAGAACCTGAAGAAGCACTCGCTCTTCATCAACGCCTTGTCCTGGAAACGGTTCTCCACAACAAACAACAACAAAAAGAAACAGGAAAACATCAAGAACAAGAACGTAACAGCCTTCAGACAACCGCTGGACAACATCAATCAAACAGTTGATAAAAACAAGAACATCCAGCAGCAACAACAACAGCACCATTCGAACAAGCACCCATCGTATTATGCCACATCAAAATCAACCTCATCGCTGGCACTGGATATCGTCAGGGTAAACAATGCAAATAACACAAACTATAACTTGCATTGCGAAAAGTTAACGACGAAGCAGACGTTGCCCAGTCAGAGAGACTCGAATCAGGTCGTGCCGGTGGCACCGCCGAAAAGAACTGTGATCCAGGCTTCCACGTCGGAGTTGTTGAAGTGTTTGGGCTTGTTCTTGCACACGAGATGTTACAAGCTGAAGGATTTCCAGGCCGGGGATGCTGTGATGTGGCTGAGGACGGTGGATAGGAGTTTATTGTTACAAGGATGGCAGGTAAATGACACTGATTTGAAAGCCAGTACCTTAAGATTTTAAGTTTTTTAATAATATATTTTCTTGTTTACTAGTATCTGTGTCTATTTGGGTTATTTTTATTTTGTTTTCATTAAAATTTTTTTCATTCTCTGGTTCAAATGCTTATAAGACTATTCCTAGTAGTATCGAATGTTTTTTTCATATTTTACGGTTTTCTAGAGAATCTGGTAGCTGTTACCTTTATAATTTCAACATGTTAATAATTAAATATCGGTTTTGATGGCGGATTATTATTTTTATATTCATTAATTTAAACAAAAATTATCATCCTGTGACTGTCATTTAGTATTTACTATTAGAAGACGTTTGGCATAAAATAGTAAACTAATTTTATAGAGGGTGAGTCTTAAATAAGTGCAAATATTTTCAGGGAAGGTAGGTCTCGATAAAAGAAACATATTTTCTCATTACCGTTTTTCAAATAAGTCCAAAATGACCAAGGTATTTTACTTTGGAAATAAAAAAAAATATTTTTTGCTTAAATTTTGAAAACCAATGGATCTTTTCAGGTTTTTTTTCTTGTAAATTTAATCTACTATGTTGCCATATTATCAAGTAATTATGTTTTTTAACTAAAAATTAAAAAAAAATTCAACATTTTTTTCAAAAAAATCCAAATTTTAAAATTTTTTCTTCGCAAAATAATTTTTGATAATCGTGTTTCTGGGGTCGAAATATACTACGCCTAAAAGTATTTGCACTTTTTTAAGACTCACCCTGTAGAGTAAATTAAACAAAATACATCATCCTGTGACTATCAATTAGCATTTACTATTAGAAGACGTTTGGTATAAAGAAGTATACTAATTTTATATATACATGGTGTAAATACAATATGATCGAAAAAAAAACGGCGTCAGCGATGGCTATAAACTGAAGATTGCTTGATGGCCAAACCAAACTAAATCAAACCAAGAGGTTGCCATTTTTTTCATATGGTACTTAAGTGGTAAAATGTTTAGATAAAACAGCACTTAGTAGAGTTTTTCATAAAAAAATCCTCGAAAAAATCTAATTTGACGCTTTCTTCTAATGGTGGTACCTATTTGAGTTGAGTATAAGGTAACCCAGAATATTGACCAATATCGATATATTATATCGATATTGGTCAAGAATGGTTTACCCTCGGGTTTACCTAAAACAATATATTTAATATATTGACGTCACTAATCAAGTCGCGTTTTTAAGTAAAATGTTTACTTAAGTATATAATCTACAGGGCGATTTAATTCACTCTTCCTCTTGCAATATTTTTCTCTTTTTTTACCCAAAAAATTTTGAAACAATTTTTCTAGTGCATAAAAATCAATTTAGAAACTCTATCTTTTCTCTATTTTTTTTCTACATGGAATATTTAACAAGAAAAAATAAGATTTAATATTAATAACCACATTAAAACTTTACCTCATTAGATTTATAATAACGCAGTAGGCGTCTACCACCACCATTTTGAAATGCAATTCAACTAGTAATATAATATAATATGCAAATCCTTAGATTTAATGACATTGACACGCAATTTGGGATTGTAATTTATATTACAATTATAGTTTGCCTTTTATTACACAGGGTGAGTCTTAAATAAGAGCAAATATTTTTAGGGGTAGTTTATTTCGACTGTAGAAATTTCGCGAATATTTATTTTTGAAAATTTGGAATTTTTTGAATTTTTCTTCATTTTTAGTAAAAAAAACATAATATCTTCAAAAATAGCAACATATGTAATAGATTAAATTTACAAGTAAGAACACCCAGAAAAGATCCGGTTATTTTGGGCTTATTTGAAAAACGTTTCTTTTATCGAGATCTACCAGCCCTGAAACTATTTGCACGTATTTAAGACTCACCCTGTATAATTTTTAGGGAAACCTTAAATCACTTCTTTCCTTTTGAGAAAGCAATCACTCCTTATTTCTGGCATTTAACCCTGTTTATAATTCTGATCAACTGCAAAAGTGAAACAGGAGAACATTTTTATTTATTTGTTTATTATATATGCCAATGTTGCCACCTATTTTATATTTATTTAAGGTGCTTTTTGAAATTTCTATCATCAAAATACTTCGAATTTTCATTGCTAGTTTACTTTTGTTATACAAACTCTTTATTATATTTAATTCTTAAAAAAAATGATGAAGTACCGAAAGCTGGAGAATATTAAGGTCCCTTCGAAAAGAGAAGACTAAAGATATCATCTCACCAATTACATTACCAAAATGGGACGAATACTTTGCTAAACTGTTGACCGAAGAAAGGGCCGAATATCAACAAACATTTCAACCACAATCCGACATTCAAATAAGAACCGCAGCTTCTCCACTGAGGATCAATACCAAAAAAGTAAAACAAATTTGCCAAACCCTGAAAAATAGAAAATCGCCTGGTCCAGGTGAAATTCCTCCAGAATTACTCAAGTACGGCACGGATAAATTATATAAGCAGCTCGCTAGTCTTTTCCAAAAGTGCCATAATGGTGAAAATATACCGAAAGAATGGAAGACATCATATATAACAACACTACACAAGAAAGGAAGTAAAGACGATTGCGATAACTATCAAGGAATCTTCGTGCTGAGCTCTGTTTCAAGGGTCTATGGAAAATTGGTCAAAAAGAGAATTGAGGAAGAATACCGGGATATAGAGGCTGAAGAACCAGCGGGATTTAGAGCTGGTAGATCCACGGTCGACCATTTATTTACACTAACACAGATAATTGAGAAAAAGATGGCAAGAAATCAAGAAATACATCTCCTCTACGTAGACCTCAAGAAAGCATATGATAGTGTACCCCAGTCTAAATTGAGGGAAGCCCTCGAGAAAACGAATATCAGCATAACATTAATTAAGGCTGTCCAAGAACTTTATAAGAACAACACTAGCCAAGTAAAGAAAGGACAAACAGTATCAAAGGGATTCAGCATAAACAAAGGTCTTAAACAGGGCTGCTGTCTATCGCCCACACTGTTTAAAATCTATTTGGAACAAGCTCTGAAAACGTGGAAAAGGAAGTGTGAACAGACGGGGATACCATTAAACGACTCGATACTTTACACTCTTTGTTTCGCTGATGATCCAATAATACTAGCTCAAGACTACGAGGACCTGGAATATATGACCCGCAAACTAATTGAAGAGTATAACAAGTGGGGGCTGGAGGTAAACCTTAAGAAGACGGAATATATGTGTATCGGCGGCGAACAACAGAACATAATCCTAGAACAGCAACAGCAAGAAATAAAACACTACCAAAAATATAAATATCTTGGCATGCACATTACCAACGATGGTAGCCTTGATGAAGAAATTAAATGCAGAAACAACCAGGGAAGACAAGCAATTAGACAACTCAACAGTATTTTATGGGATAAAGCCGTATCAAAAGAAAACAAACACAAAATTTATAACAGCATAGTTAAAAGTATCATTAGTTATGGTAGTGAAGTATGGCCTTTGAAAGAAAGAAACCTTAAGTTACTCGAAGCTATAGAAATGAATTTTTGGAGGCGCGCGGCCGGAAAATCGAAACTGGATAGAGATAGAAATGAAAGAATTCAGAACATAATGGGCGTTAAACACCGAATATCAGAAGACATCAAAATTAACCAACTCAGGTGGTACGGGCACGTACAAAGAATGGAAGAGAACAGAATCCCGAAAAAAATACTCAATTGGACACCACAAGGCAAACGCAAGAGAGGGAGACCTAGACGGAGTTGGAGAGAAGGAAAAGACGGGGACATCAGAACAAGAAGAATAGACGAAAACCTCTGGACAGACAGAGACCAATGGAGACTGGAAATCAGAAGACGTCGAAGAACGTTATAAACTGATTTGTATATATATAAAAAAGTGATACTTAACATAAAAGAAATATTCACTTAAACTTTGTATTATTTTAGTTCTTTATTTTTTATAAAGAACAACCTCACTTATAATATTGTGTGCTTAAATTAAAAAATATAATTTCTTTGCAATAACCTTTGATATTTCAGTATTTCTTTCGTTTAAAAGACAATCTATACAATAACAAAAAGAACTGAAATACACAATTCCGTTTAATTTAAGTGAAACAGACCTTTAAAGTTCACGGCCTGACATGCAAACTTCCGACGATACATTTCAGTTTGTCCTTGTCTAATCCAGGGACGAGCTGGCAACAATGCCATTTCACCAGTCGCCTGATAAATTCCAGATACAATTGTGCTGCCGCTGTCCGAGTTCAACATTGCTATAACGCAGAAACTCTGCTATTTTGGCTAGTTTAATAAAATTTTCGTTTGTAAAATGTCCAATTTACTTTAATATAAATGTCGACTTGGTTTGGTTTGATGATTTTTGTAGTTTATTAAACAAGAATTATTTAGATTTCAAAGAATAAAACACATTCGACCAATGTGTACTACATTATGTATTCAAAACGGACATTATAAGGAACCAGGGCCGGTGGAAGGAAAATATTGAGACCGGGCGAATACCCTACCTGTAAATACAAAATTTACAAAAAAAATGTAAGAAACCTTTTTTGTAGAGAATTCAATTTCCTAAAAATATATCGGACGAGATATTTTTTCCAAATATTAGATACCGAGATATGATTTTTTCTTTCTAATAATAAGGAAAAAATAGAAAACTAAAATGCGGAGGACCTTCCTATTAAAATTAAGAGCTCATACTTGGAGAGAATTTTTTACAGTGTCTACCAACTTTTTTTTTAGAGTGTAAAGTGAAAAAATAGTCGATTTTTTTGACCCACCTTAATCGTATGGATATTTTTCTTTCTAATAATAAGGAAAAAATAGAAAACTGAAAGGTCGAGGACCTTCTTCTTAAAATTAAGAGCTCATACTTGGAGAGAATTTTTTTAGTTGTCTACCAACCTTTTTTACAGTATAAAGTGAAAAAAATAGTCGATTTTTTCGACCCACCCAAATCGTTATAATATCTCATCAATCCATACC